TCAGCAGTGGATTTTAAATTTTCGTAGCGGATAGAGAGATTTTTGAAATGTCGATAAAACAGAGAAACACCACATGAAAACTGTCAGAAACTCTTAGGAAAACATCCATAAACAATACAGTCNCTAGATATGGGTCTAGCAAGAGGGGCGCTCGTTGAACACCAGGCTTAGTACTATTTATCTCGCCTATTCCCACATTCATCGCCACCGCGGTAGCAATACATCCGACGTGACGATGATATAAGCATCTCCCGGATCAGGTTATGCTAACTATAACAAAATGCAAGAAAAGGTGGAAGCAGTAATCAGACGGGAATCATTAGTAGGCTAGTTACGATGATGTTGATAGAGTAGTCATTTGTTTTTATCTTTCAAGAGTTCCACCGCATGCTGCAACTGGAGTAGGTGTTGTTGCCATTTTGAGCTCCCTACAGAAGGAACCAAAAAACCTGACTCTAGTACTAGTGGGCTGTCTAGAGATCTTGACCAAGCTGCAATATTATCGTTTTTTCATACGTTACCACTCCATGTATCTTTCTATGAACTATCACCGATAATCCCACCTCATTATCCTCATTGTTTGCCAATGTGATCGCCGTACGACCGGACAGAGAGAGACGTAACGAACTCGGTGGCTCATTCCTTCTCACAGCCTTTATAAGACTTAGCCAATCTTTACCACTATTGGCCACCCATTATCATAATACTTATCCGATATTCTTTCAGCAGTGGATTTTAAATTTTCGTAGCGGATAGAGAGTTTTTTGAAATCTCGATAAAACAGAGAAATACCACATGAAAACTGACAGAAACTCTTAGGAAAACATCCATAAACAATACAGTCTACACACCTAACAGGGGTAGGTAAATGGAAACGCAGCGTAATGAATAGTAGGAATTACGAACGACAAGAAAGCGATACCTAGCCCACCACTACGTCTCGCTGTTCAAATTTCGCCATTTTACATAATTCGTTTTGGCAGTATTACACACTGAAACGTGTGTAAGGTAAGTAGATATCATTGTGGCTGCACAACAGCCGACCAGAAGAAGAAGGTCATCTCTACCCAGTACAGAAAACCCGGCAAAACAAGCGAGAATCGACTGGCAGTCATATTAACGCATGAATGAGAATGAGTTCTTTTTCGAGGGGTGAAGAGATGGATTAAAGAAAAAGCGAAAATCTCGGATTGGCACGACCAAATTAAAAACACGCGGCATTCATCGACTGGATCGGTACGGATATAAAACGCGCACGAGATTGCTGGCGCCGGGTACGCCTACCAAGAAAAAAATCTGGCTCCGTGTTGATAAATCTATTTGTGAAATGGGAAATTAAGAGGACAAAATAAAAAGTTCTTGTCGGCAAGATGAGAGAAATGATACTTGAAAATCGGAGTTTCTTCTTCATAAGATTGCAAATGCGTTTTAAATTCAACAAAAAGGCTGGCAATAAGCCATCAATATTGTCAACTGTGAGAACGTCGCATTGTAGGAGGGATACTTAGCGAGCGTCGGCAAAGAAGTAAGCCACCACTGATTGTGTGTCTGCGCACGTTTTTACGTAAATATTGGAACGTCGACCGACCTACGAAGGTGTACAAACGAAACCCATCACAAAAGGTAATTATTCGTCGCGAAACGGGCG